GTTAGGTTAATTTTTCCCAACAAAGCATGGAACTAGAAAGCATGAGGTTAAGATATATTATATACCATGATAGATAAAATCTTTTATTTCTATTAGTTGGTACTAACCATTTTATTTTTTTTATTGTTATCTATTTTGTAGATACATTATATTTTGCTCTAATTTGTTTATATTGATTTCTTGTGCTTGCATTGCATGATCATGACATAACCAAAAGGTGTTAACTCTTGAGAGTGGACATCAAATTAGAAAGAATTCATAAATGGACAAAAAGTTTTATGATCAAGCAAACTATGATGCAGTTAAGGAAAGACATTCTGAGGGAACTCCGAAGATAGAGGAAAGCTATACACCCAAAGATCGTATGCCCATTGAAGAGTAAAAGGATATACGAGAAATAAGAGAGCAAATGTCCAAGATGATGGTTAGAATATCTGTTTTGGCCAAAGGAAAAGAGATTCCTGCACAAAAAGACAGAGAGGTCAATGAACATAACCCTACAATCTCATATATACAAGGAGCTTCGGATCTTAACCAATTTGAGAAATTACAGACAGTCATCATTCGTATTCACAAATTGTCTGGAGATACCAAAGAAATGGTGACAAATGTAAAAGCACCCAGAGATGAGAAGAAATCATGTAATCTAAAATCGTCGAAGTTTAGTCTGCTCCCGACGTCTAAAACTCAGGTTCAATCCAAGACAAAAGGCGGTTCTCATTTTGATGCTATCCCTATATCATATAAAGAGTTGTATAAAAAGCTACTTAAAGCGCGAGAAGTGGTTCCATACTACATAAAGCTGTTCCAACCTCCGTATCCGAATTGGTATGACACCAACATTTATTGTGAATATCATGCCGGAGTTCAAAGACATACCATTGAGAATTGTCTTGCCTTCAAACGTCGAGTCCAAAGTTTTTTTGATCATGGAACCTTACAATTTATGATAAATGATCGACCTAGTTTGGTAACTGGAGGTCCTGCTAGATTAATACCAAAAGTGGTCAAAGGTAAGAATATCAGTAGGGGCATCCAGAAAGAAGAAGATTTGCTAAGGTCTGAGGCTCAAATACATCATTTAAAGATTGAAAACGAAAAATTGAGCACCATAATGGAAACCATGCATGAATATTTCCAGAAGGTCAATCAAGCCTTTCAAAATGCTGGCATAGGAAACACCCCAGAAGAGTGGATAACATGGGTCACCAAACTGAAAAAGAACTGTGACATACATGAAAGTTGAGCCAAGAAGTTTTCTCACGATTTAAGAATTGCAGAAGTAAGACGCAATACAACTGTCATTGAATTGGGAAAATGTCAAGTCAAAAATCAAAGGTTGAATAGTGCTATGACCAACATGGAAGCATCATATCAGATCCATCAGCTTAAGATCGATAATGAATTAAAAGGAACTATAGCCAAGAACAAGACATTGAAGAAATGTTTAGATGATTATGGAGATCTTGTACGAGAACTTCTTGAACATAAAGATTCTCTCACAAGAAAAAATGAACAACATTGTCTAAAATTTCAAAAATTGACACAGAAGATGAAGGAAAAAGAGAATATCATGAAGGAAGTTTATGCTCAAGCAAACAAAGTGGCTCATAAGCTGGTGGACTTAGCTGGCTTTACAAGAGAATTAAGGCAGATTGATAACTCCACACCTGAACATGAGTGGAAGTTAATTTGGCTTTTAAGAGAAATAGAGAAATTAGGAGTGAAAGCTATCCCCTACATGTAAAAGTTTTGTTTAATGCACCGAAACTTTTGTGTTCAATGAAATCTGTTCTAAGATGATCACTCTTGATTAACACCTTTGTTGCATTTGCATTCGTATTTTTTTCATTACATTTGCATTTTTTATGTTTGCATTTGTATTTTTATATTTTCATTTACATTTTCATTTTATATTTGCATCTTTGCATTGCACAGTTTGTATTCTTATTTTTGCATTTATGCATTTTCGCATTTACATTACATTGTTATTTATTTAAGTATTGTTATATACATTAATTATAAAAACATGTAAATAATTCTTGAAAGGATTCTGTAACAGTAAAACCGAGATCATTCATTCATATTATTGTACCATCATCATGAAAACAATGGAGCAATCTTATGAAAGACTAGAAGATCAGTGGCCAGATTAATTGACAGGGTTACCTAAGGATACAAGGAAAGAATCATCACAAGATGGATTAAATCAAATTACTCAGGGGATGGCATCTGATAAAGAAGAGATAACTGATAAAGAGCAACCATGCTATCAGATTGAAGAGTCAAGAATGATAACATACCCTGGGGCATCCCACTCGAACTTAAAGAATAGCCTCATTTTTCATCCAGAAATATGATTAGTGTTAGTGCCCGCCACAAAGAATTAGAAGCAAGAGAGCTCAGCTTGGTTCCAGATTTGGTTATTCCCCATGAATTCAAAATGCCTGATTTTGAGAAATATGATGACACCAGTTGTCCCCTAATTCATTTGAAAATGTTTTGTAAAAAAATGGAAGGATATCTGAATTCTGATGATTTGTTAATTCACTCTTTCCATGATAGCCTCGTTGGCCCAGCAGTAGTATGGTACAATCATTTGAATCAAGAACAGACCAAGAGATGGGTTGATTTAGCTGATGCATTTTTGGGACAATATATGTATGTTAAAGGCTCAGCTCCAACACGTATGAATCTTCAAGGAGTATTGATGAAAACCAATAAAGGGTTTAAGGATTATACCTTAAGATGGAGAGAAATGGCAGCACAAGTTCAACCTCCTATGTTAGAAGAAGAGATATCACATATGTTTCGTGATTCCCTTCCCACTTTGAGCTAATGTTGGCAAATCTGATGAAGGAATTCGTGAATCTTATGACAAATGGAGAATTAATTGAAAATGTAATCAACAAAGGAAACTAAAAAGTCACATCTAAGAGCCCGACGGATCAAAAAGCGAAAGGTGATGATGTGAATGAATGTCGCAGCCAGAGTCCCCACAATTGCAAAAGAAAAAGGGCAAGTAGTTGTTCGGATCGACCAAATAAAATCACACGATTAAGAAAAACTTTGGAAGTGTTCCAAACTTCCATTTCAGACTTTTACCCTCATTTGGTTAAAGGTCGATACATCACACCAAGATCAACGAAAGTGCTACCAAACCCTTCTGCTCATAGTTATGATCAAGGTAGTGTTTGTGATTTCCACTTGGGGGTATCTGGGCACTCTATAGGCAATTGTAGGCAACTGTTAAAAGAAATAGAGACCCTCATTAACAAGGGAGTCTTGACACAAGAAATGATCAAGAAATGGGGGACAAATAAGGATGAAAATTCTGGACCAAGTACAAACCCAACATTCAAGGAAAGATAGAGCAAGCTAAACAAAACAAGTGAAAGTTGTTATCTACTACTGTAGTACTTTCTATTTTCAGCATCTTGTTTGAACTTTGTTCCTTTATCCACCTTTTGTGCAATAAATAAATTTGTGTTACTTGTAAGGTTATGAGCATTGAGTCAATTTTACAATCTTACAGTTCTTTGAATATCAATTGGATTAAAAAACTATGCATGATTAAAGTTATAATCTTTGAAAAAATATCAAGATTTAAAACTCGAAAAACAATGACCCTTGACCTTACTTCAGAAGAAATATACCCAAACATTATCCTATTACAAATATGAGATAGTCTTCTCCTATTGAAAGGAATTTCAAAAAAGCTTGATATTTATATATAGGAGTATACAACATGGGGCATCGTTTGTGTATTACAAAACTGACTAGAGTACTTTTCTATTGATGACGTTCAATGATGAACATATTTTTTACAAATAGGTAAATCTAGTTTAAGTCAGTTGCTTGGGAATTGAACTCTAACGAAGAGATTTTCTGAATTCCACCAAAACACCTAGACTATAACATGTTCTTCTTAACAAGCTTAAGAAGTTTGAGACGTATACCCATATTACTATTATATACAATAAAGCTTGAGTTACCCCCTAAAGCAATTGGTTAATCTCTCTAACTTTATGGATAATATTCAACTAGCATGTTATGCTTGAGTTGTCCCTCTAGAGCAATTGGTTAATAGCCCTGGCTTTATGGATAATATTCAGCTAGCCTATTATACTATTATATGCAATAAAGTTGTCCCTCTAGAGCAATTGGTTAATCGCCCTGGCTTTATGGATAAGTTTCAAATAGTAAAAAGAAAAGAAAAGAAAAAAAAAGAGATTGTAAAAGATGAACTAAGGATGTTAAGAAACACCTGTTATAGTCAACTCCGCACGAGCACTCATAAATTTCATTTTTAGATCAATATTTTTGCACTACTTTTGTTAGACTTTACAAAACTTTCACAAATGGAATATTTCAGAGAACTGAAATAGAGGTATTCTAGATAATCTAGTAATTGGCAATCCTAGTTGCGTCATTTTGTACGCACCCGGTTAAAATACCAAGTCCTTAAAGTGAGGCATGTGACAAAGTTCACAAAGAGCGAGAGAGGAGTGATATATTAAATAGATGTAACCATAGAAAAATAGGAAAGCCATCCTGAAGCCAAACCAAATTTTGATACTTGTCAAAGAGCTATAATTCTCAAAACATTAAAGAGTTGTTGATTCTTTTGATATTCTTTGAACTCATACTTATGATTTGATTCTATTGTGAACTTGTAAGAAATAATACTTTACAAAATTCTTTCATTCTTTGATAAAGAAAGGAGAAAAAATCATTTTCAAACAGGACAGTCTCAAATGAGGAAGGTCCTTGAAGTAAGTTGTTGCCTATTCTACTTCTATTGTAGAAAAAAAATAAGTAAGGCCAAAATGATGAAGCATTTCACATTCTTGAAAACAAAAATCCTCGAGTCCATTCATATGATGTTTATTTGTTCCAATAAGGTTGCTATATGGGATGCCACCGACAACAAGGTTGAATCCGCCAAATCTACTCATCAATTGCTCCAACCGATCATTGTTCAGTTCTTGCACATCTACCTTCAAAGGTATGCCGAGCCGATAGAGGGCAACTTCTGCACCACCGGTCCATGAGAAAAGAGACAGAACATTGATACCCCTAGGGAACATGTCTTTTAAAGCCAAAAGATGATAAGCCATTGTGTCGGCCTGGAATGGATTACCAAGCGATTTATACCACTCTGTCCGACTAGATCCCTCCAGATCCAGAAAATGGTCACCTCATTCAGAAGAGGCACATATGTCAGACATTTCTATCAGAAGGATTGATTACTTCTTAAATGTTTGTGGCAACAACAGAAAAAAAAATCTTTAAGCTATTGAACAACACCGCTGTTTAGTGACATCAGAATGAGAGCATTCAAGATTAACAAATTTATGCATGAATAGAGCCACGAGTACCCTCAATGGGGCATTAGCAAAATTGGACTTCGTGGGGATCATGAGATTTAAATCAAATAAACATTGAGAGTAAGCCTTACAGTTTAGAATGTTGGGGTATTTTGAAAGCCCAATTCAGACAGATCCATGTGGGATATTTTGAAGGCCCATTTCAACCAGAAATAGAATGTTGGGGCATTTTGAAGGCTCACAGCAATATGAATATTCTGGCATTCTTGGAGGCTCATCTCAGTAAGAAGTAATGTTGAATGCCTTTTTAACATCTGTATTAGCAAATGTTAGGACATTTTGAAGGCCAGTTTCAGACATAAATGATTCATGAGATACATTTTGAAAGCTTATTTAGAGGGTTCACATAATCAAGAAACAATTTTGAATGCATTTTGATCGTTCATATCAGCAAATATTGGGGCATGTTGAAGGCATATATCATCGTGTGTCAAGATCATTAATTTGAGCGAATATTTTCAATAAGACAGAAACGCATGAAGAATGAAAATGGTGAAACAGTGACAGTGGAGCTGACTATACATAATTGCTTCGTTCATCAGGTAGTTACATTAGGGTCCTGGTGTTGAACAAATATTTACTCAGCTACTATGGTTTCAAATACCCAATCTTCTTAACCATGTGTCACATGATAGCGTATTCTTTGTTAAGCTACATCACGGTTGCATGGATAAAGATGGCCCCCATGCAGATCATTCGAGCCAGGGTTCAGTTCCTCAAGATATCGACTTTTAGGTTCCTGGCGGTTAATTTCAATCATGTTATTGGGGCTACGAAGCCATTTTTCACAACATTTTTCGCTTACTTTATGACATTAAAAAGGGAGGCTCGGCTTACATATATTACCCTTATTCCCGTTGTTACTGGGGTTATCATTGGTAGTCATGGTGAATTGAGTTTTCATCTATTTTGTTTTATCATGTGTATTTCATCTACAATAGCAAGAATTCCATGGACCTCCTTCTATACATAGCTCCTATAGCGGACGTGTTTCTACGTACTACAACACTCATTATGAAAGAAAATGTGATCGGTATCACACTTGCCCTTGCCCGAGATGATATCAAGATTAGTTGGTATCTCTTATTTAATCCGACACTAGCATATTTTGTGAATTTGACCAACTTTTTGGTCATGAAACACACCAGCATCCCATTTGTATTCCCACTGAGTTTTGTTCTCAAGTGGTCTTATGACATCATATAATAGCTTTGAACACTATGCAAAGAGCTTCATTGATGAGAAATTTGGGCAGAAGCCATAGGAAAGGATGAATGTGTTGTCAAATACTTTATGAACATCTGGGCAGAAGCCACAAGAAATGATGAATGTGTTGTCAAATGATTTACGAACATCTGTGCAGAAACCACAAGAAATGATGAATATGTTGTCAAACGTTTTACGAACATCTGTGCAGAAACCACAGGAAATGATGAATGTGTTGTCAAATGTTTTATGAACCAGTGATTATGGTGCTGAACCAATGTTGAGATCATATGGTGTTTATATTTATTGATTCAAGATAAAGTTTGTCTTCTTCAACCACAAGGTTAGAAGTTAAACATGATGAAGATTTCTTTCCATGAGAAAGGGAGCTGAAATTTTAACAACAAGAAACTAGTGGATCCAACTAAGATTGAACAATAGGCTATTGTTAAACAGCTCGATATGATATGGTCTGAATGGCTTTGTTCGAGATCCAATTAGATGTGGAGACATGAAAGGAATTAGGATAAATCCTCCTTGTGATGTGTTTCAAGAGTCAAATTAGAATAGACACTGTTCTCCTAATTAATCTCTACTGAGTTGGGCATTTCTACATCTACATTCTTCAAAGATGATAGATTCTCTTTTCAAAGATGAAAACTTTATTGGATTTCTACACAAGTCCAGACGAAGAAAGCCAGTGTTATCAGAGACAAAATGGGGTATCAAGATCATAATTCTTACTATGGCAAAAGTTCTATAAATGAAACATTTCTTCTAAGATTTTAATGCAATTGAAGAAGACATAAAGATACAAGTTGATCAGATGGTTCTTCAGAAATGCAAGCTTGATAGCATAAGTTGTTACACTGATATATGTAGAAAACCCTGTAATGACTAAGTGAAGGAAGACTGAGTTTGCCACTTTGAAGTCAAATGAAGATTGCATCAACATTTTTACATTCATATGAACATCATTTGCACAATAAAAATGCATTACATTGATACAGTTGATTGCATTCAAACATGAGATTTTACAGATATTCAAAGAAGATTCATGATGAAAAATACCTTCCAAACAGAAGGTAGAATTAAAAACCTCAAATACAGGAATCACGCAAACATCTAAAGAATAGATGGATACAATCCATAGAAGAAGTGTTATTTTGAAATGTGGCATGTTACCCAATCAACAAGTTATTTTGAAAAATGAGAAAACGATTTCCAAAGTTTCTCACTTAATCTTTTCTGAAAATGAAATTGTTGAATAGTAAGAAAACGATTTCCAAAGTTTCTTACTTAGTAAACTATTTCCCACATCTATAAGACCTTTAGTGTAGGATGTTTTCAAAAAGCCTTCGGATCATCTGTAAGACCTTCAGTGCATGATGTTTTCAAAACCTTCAGGCCATCCATAAGACCTACAGTGCAGGATTTTTCAAAACCATCGGGTCATCTCTAAGACCTTCAGTGCATGATGTTTTCAAAACATTCGGGTTATCCATAAGACCTACAGTGAAGGATGTTTTCAAAGCCTTCGGATCATCTGTAAGACCTACAGTGCAGGATGTTTTCAAAAATCCTTCGGTCATCTGTAAGACCTTCAGTGCAAGATGTTAAAACCTTCGGGTCATCTGTAAGACCTACAGTGCAGGATGTTTTCAAAAGTCCTTCGGGTCATTTGTAAGACTTTCAGTGCAAGATGTTAAAGTCCTTCGGGCCATCCATAAGACCTACAGTGCAGGATGTTTTCAAAAGTCCCTTTGGGTCATATGTAAGACCTTCAGTGCAAGATGTTAAAGTCCTTCGGGCCATCCATAAGACCTACAGTGCAGGATGTTTTCAAAAATCCTTTGGGTCATCTGTAAGACCTTCAGTGCAAGATGTTAAAGTCCTTCGGGCCATCCATAAGACCTACAATGCAGGATGTTTTCAGAAAGTCCTTCGGGTCATCTGTAAGACCTTTAGTGCAAAAAGTTAAAGTCATTCGAGCAATCCATAAGACCTACAGTGCAGGATGTTTTCAAAAATCCTTCGGGTCATCTGTAAGACCTCCAGTGCAAGATGTTAAAGTCCTTCGGGCCATCCATAAGACCTTCAGTGCAGGATGTTTTCAAAAAGCCTTTGGATCATCTGTAAGACCTTCAGTGCAAGATGTTAAAGCCTTCGAGTCATCCATAAGACCTTCAGTGCAGGATATTTTCAAAGGAGAACTAAGAAACTAAGCCTTCGGGGGATTCTTGATTTGAATTCCAGAGATCAACAAATATTCAAATCCATCAGGATTCAACAACTCTGTCTTAATCAAGAAAAGTCAACTGGACAAAAATTTATTGTCTTTTTCGTCTTTGCCCTACTCTTGTTAACACAAGAATGAGCAAAGAGGGGTAGTTGTAGACACTAAATTTTATCTCGTTTTTATTTTTATCTATTATTATTATTATTATTATTATTATTATTATTATTATTATTATATATATATATATATATATTACTATTAAATATTTTATTACAAATCAGGCCCAAAATACAATATTATAGGCCCAATCAATTACAGCCCAGAGGCCCATTTACAAACCAATCCCGAGGCCCAAATGTGTAACCTTAAACCCAAATAAGGTTTCATCATTCCAGCTCCCAGCCACCAGTGATTGCAGCCGTTGGATCTAGTCTTGATCCAACGGCCCAGATGGTTCCAACAAATAAAACCCTAGGGCCATGTTCAGCTACCGCCTCTGCCAGGTGCCTCGTCCAGCCACTGCCGATGCTCCACTGCTGCCACGTCTTCGAAGAAGACTCCAGAGAAAGCATAGATGGTCGCCCAGGTCGAGACCCTATTGTGAGTCACCACTAGAGGTTCGATGACTCACCAAGGGCCATTCTTATGACCGGTCCGAGAGAAGAACTATGGTGGCTTATAAAAACCACTAATTCCCTGCAGAGAAAAAGACGGAGGGACAGACAATAATAACAAGGCAACACACCAACCAAATACCACCATATATTAAACAAAAAGAGATAGAGAGTTTACCGATGAAATCGCACGGTGACCGGAGCTTCCACGCACCTTTACGCGCCACCGACAGATTCGAAATACCGAAGGTATTTCTTTAGATCTAGGAGAACCCAAGGCTTTTTAGGGAAAACGAGGGTTGGATTCCGTCTTAGATCATTCGAGTCTATATTTTGGTGTATTTTGTTTTTTTTCAGCCACCGGTGGCGATGACCGGCGGCGGAGTTGACGGCGGCGTGTGGCTGTCGGCCGGCGTATGGATTCCCTCCGATTAGGGAATCCTAGAGAGAAGGGAGAGTGATTTATAATCTCTCGTCTAGAGAGAGAAAGAGAGAGGAAAGAAATGAGAAAAATAGCTCTAAAGGGCTGAGCATTTAGGGTTTATATACCTCTTCCCAAATGACGTCGTTTTAGAGAGGGCTATATGCGTAATTTCATGAATGGGTGAACTATACACGCAATCCCTCTATGTTTGTATCTTTGCATTTTAGTCACTGAAATTAATTTCTGA